AGATTTCTATTTTAAATAAATGCTCTTCTTTTTAATTTTTTATTCATCAAAGAATCCTGAAAAAAAGTATCACAGGTTCCAAAAAAATATTAAGCAGCACAACAGTTTCCAGCACTGATAATAAATCAGCATATTAGAATGATTTCTGAAGGATCATGTGACACTGAAGACTGATGTAATGATGCTGAAAATTCTGCTTTGATCACAGGAATACATTAGATTTTAATGTATATCAAAATAGAAAAATGTTATTTTACATCATAATAATATTTCACAATATTAAATTTGTTCCTGTATTTTTGATCAAATAAATGCAGCCTGATGAGCATAAGAATCTCCTGTAAAAAAACATTAAAAATCGTTCTGATCCCAAACTTTTGACCGGTAGTGTAAATCAAGATATTTCACATTACAAGTCTGGCCCTCATATGTAGTGCTGTTGTCTGAACATGATTTATGAAATGAAAAGCATTACATCAAATAAGTAACCCTGCAGGAGCAGATGTGCTATTTTTTTTTGAGATTATTAAACACATAAATATAACTACATATACTGCCTGATGTATAAAGTATGGAAACCAGTTTCTGTCACAGAATAAAAAACGTAATTGCCATTTTTTAAATCTCACAATTCTCACTTTTTCCCCTCACAATTCTTAGTTTATATATCACAATTCTGACTTTTTCTCAGAATTCTGAGAAAAAATATAAAGAGATATGAAATCAAAATTCTGAGATAATGAACTCTGAATTGCGATATAGAAAAAAACCAGAATTGTGTGATAAAATGTCACTTTTTTTTTATTCCATGGCAAAAAAAAAAAAAAAAATCCAAGATATAAACTCAGAATTGCAAGGGAAAAATTCAGAATTCTGAGTTCAAATCTCACAATTCTGACTTTTTTTTTCTAAGAATTGCGAGTTTATATCTCAAATTTCTGAGTTTATATTTCAATATTGACTTTTTTATATTTTGCAAGTTATATCTTGCAATTCTGAATTCATATCTTGCCATTCTGCAAGAAACAAAAAGTCTGAATTGTGAGATAAAAAGTCACCTTTTTGTTTTTTATTCCTTGGCAGAAATGTGCTTCCGATCTGTCTGTGCAAGAAACTGAACAGTATTTATATCATTTTTTTACCTCTAATCCACCGCAATATCCAACTGTCCTGAGCTTGAATCGCAATATCCAACTGGCGTTCGCAACATCCGCCGCGTGACGTCAAATAAATACGGTTGGGCAAAAAATTCCACGTTGTCTGATGATATATAAAAATCGTCTTCCATTGTGATGACCTGTACTTCTAAATATCTTTAGATCATCGCAGTGCCAGTGAACACGTCCGCAATCTCTCTGCACTATGTAAATAATGAATGACGTATACGCGCGACAGATCGCTTCCGCACATGCGTCTACTATCATAGATTTGTATAGATGCCCTATTCGACCGCTCCAGTTACGTTGACGCGTCCGCCATTTTGGAACGTATCGCGGCCCATAGAAACAGTCACTAATGAGGCATCTACTTATATATATCTATGTCTACTATGCCAGAGCACGTACACGTGTCACGCGCCAGATGTTGTGAACACGCTCACGACAGTTGGATATTGAGGTGGATCAGAGGTAAAAAATGATTCTGAAGAAACAAAGTCACCTACATCTTGGATGCCTTGGGGGTAAGCAGATAAACATCAAATTTTCATTTTTGGGTGAACTATCCCTTTAAGACATGTTTGTCCAGAAGACACTCAGTGTTTATGATTATGTTGGGTAACGACTACATGTGTTCCTCTCTCTCTGTCTCTGTCTCAGCCTCCTCCACAGATCTATGATAAACAGCTAGATGAGAGGGAACACTCGATTGATGAATGGAAAGGTAGGCCTTCATTTGGAGCTCTCTGCATGTGGACATGACATAACTCACAGCCCACAGACAGATGAAGAGATCAAGCAGTAAATCATTCACACAGTTGTTTTTCTATCATGGTGGCCACTTTCCATTGACTTCTATTGCTACTGAGATATTTATGCTGGACTATTTAAACTGAGATAATGATTCGATTCTGTCAGATGCTAAAACTAGCCCTCAAATAAACCTTACTGCATTTTTACATTTTAAATAAAACTTGATTTAGTATATTGAGTAGATTGTCTTCCTTGTGGAGACCATTGGCTGTTCAATACAATGTACATGTAGGTTATTTCAGTTTTTAATGTCCTTGTAGAGTCTAGTGTTATTTATATACTGTTATAGTATTAATGCAGTATAGTAATTTTTAAGTAGTTTATTTTTATATCATCAGCTTTAAGTTGCTATCTGCGTTTGCCATTTTTATTATGTTATATTTTTATATATTTGCATGTTTTTATATTTATTTATTTATTTACTTATTTATATTAATTAACTTTTATTTCAGCTTTAGTTTTAGTAATTTCAGTACTTAATGTTCAACTGAAACTTAAATTTCTCATTTTCTTTTCATTAAAAAATTTTCAAGTTTAAGTTTTTCATCTAATATTTATATTATATATTTTTATAATTTATATTTATTTTTATAATGTATTTGTGTGTGTATATATATATATATATACATACATAACAAATAAATTATGAAAATAATATATATATATATTATATAATTTATATATAATTAATTTATAATTAATTTAGCTAAAGTGTTTTTGAGTTTATGAGATCTAAATGTGCTCATATCTCTCTATTTTTCTCCACCTGTGTCTCTCTGGCTCAGAGCTCATCTATAAAGAGGTGATGAACTTCGAGGAGAGAACAAAGAATGGTGTGGTGAAGGGACAGCCCTCTCCCTCAGGTACTCTCTGTGCATAAGCTGTGCTTCTGTAAGTCAATTTAAAGTGATTTCAGCTGTTTATGAGAAACCCTCCCATTGTGACTGCTCCATTTGTCCCTGTCCCCCCTCATCTCGTC